CAACATTTTTTAAAGCTTAATTGCTGATTTCATTTCAAGCATTAATAGAATGTTGGTTGATATTTAAACCCGAAAATGCAACATGCCCGCTTTATCGCTGTACTGCGCCTAACATTTTAATCTTTAAAGTCTTTACGAGCATTAACGAATGCATCAAAGTTCAACATATATCATAGTTGTACTAATGACATTGCAAATAATGGGCCGATAAACTAATCTCGTGGCAACTATAGCTGATATACAGACATTGAATCACTGACCTGGGGAAAATCAAGAATTGTCAAGAGTTCGTCGTCAGCCAATCACTAACGGCTTTGCAAGCTAAAGCCACCATTCACAGACGGGAAATCGGCCACTCGGTGTCCTTAGGACGCTACATGTACTTAGGACGCTTCATGTGCTTAGGACGCTCCTTGTACTTAGGTCGCTACATGTACTTGGCTTAGTTCATGTACTTAGGTCGCTACATGTACTTGGATTAGTTTATGTACTAAGGCCACTACGTGTCCTTGGAGCGCAACATGTATTTAGGCCAGTTCGTGTACCTAGGCCGCTTCGTGTACTTAGGCCGCTACGTGTACTTAGGCCGCTACGTGTACTTAGGCCGCTTCGTGTACTTAGGCCGCTACGTGTACTTAGGNGCGCCAGTACAGGAGCAACCACCAGCCGGTGCGTATACAGCGCGTGTTGCGCCAGTACAGGAGCAACCACCAGCCGGTGCGTATACAGCGCGTGTTGCGCCAGTACAGGAGCAACCACCAGCCGGTGCGTATACAGCGCGTGTTGCGCCAGTACAGGAGCAACCACCAGCCGGTGCGTATACAGCGCGTGTTGCGCCAGTACAGGAGCAACCACCAGCCGGTGCGTATACAGCGCGTGTTGCGCCAGTACAGGAGCAACCACCAGCCGGTGCGTATACAGCGCGTGTTGCGCCAGTACAGGAGCAACCACCAGCCGGTGCGTATACAGCGCGTGTTGCGCCAGTACAGGAGCAACCACCAGCCGGTGCGTATACAGCGCGTGTTGCGCCAGTACAGGAGCAACCACCAGCCGGTGCGTATACAGCGCGTGTTGCGCCAGTACAGGAGCAACCACCAGCCGGTGCGTATACAGCGCGTGTTGCGCCAGTACAGGAGCAACCACCAGCCGGTGCGTATACAGCGCGTGTTGCGCCAGTACAGGAGCAACCACCAGCCGGTGCGTAGCTTTTCATGATAATTGATGGTGATAAAAACTAGAAATAAATGAGGGCTCATTGAACGTCTTGAATAACAAAAGTTATTCGTGGTTAAAGGCATTTAAATGTAGTTGGTGTCGCTACAGGAGTCAGCGGCCGGTGCGTTAATATATTTGATTAAAATAAACAAAAAATGCTTATACATGCGAAATTTTTTCAGGTACCGGCGAACACTCCTAATGTGCGGGTTGTCCTGGCATCATCGTGGCGCAGCGGATCAACCTTACTAGGCGAGGTGGTATCTGCACATCCCGGCACCTACTACCACTACGAGCCTTTCATGTCCCATGGTGTACGACAACTGCAAGCGGCCGACCTGGTAAGCTGCCACCACATGACTTAATACACATGGCTGACGTACAACTGCAGTCAGCTGTCACAGTAAGCAGCCACCGCATGACCTTATGTCCCATGGCGTACGACAACTGCAGTCGACAGACCTGGTAAGCTGCCACTACATGACATAATGTTCCATGGCTGACGTACAACTGCAGGCAGCCGTAAAGGTAAGTTGCCACCGCATGACCTTATGTCTCATGGCGTACGACAACTGCAGTCGACAGACCTGGTAAGCTGCCACTACATCACATTATATTCCATGGCTGACGTACAACTGCAGTCAGCTGTCATAGTTCGCAGCCACCGNGCTTTTCATGTTCTATGACTGACGTACAAGTGCACACGGCTGGCCTAGTAAGCTACCACCACAAGAACTTTATACCCATGGCGTATGACAACTGCAGGCGGCCGACCTGGTAAGCTGCCACCACATGACATAATTTCCATGGGACGTACAACTGCAGTCTGCTGTCGTGATCATTGCCCATCATGATCCAATCTAGATTTACAAGATAAAAAATAAAATACATTGTTGAGATTGATTTTACCCGCGGAATTTACAGCCCTCATTTTAGAACTTACAATTCTAATAATTCTAATTGATATGCAATCCTGCCGAACTGCTGATTATTAATTTGCATTTCAGGTTGAAGTGAACAACCTACTGCACGACTTATTCAAGTGTGACTATCGACATCAAGAAGACTACCTGCGTTTTGCTTTCATGAACGCCGACGTGTTCTCTCGCAACAGCAGACTGTGGGCGATGTGCACTGCTTTGCCACGTACCAAGTGCTACGCTCCGGAGATTCTGGGCAAACTGTGTGGGTTGTTNCGATTCTGTGCTTATTTTCAACGGGTTTCGTACACTCAAAAAATGTAATGGGTCACATTACGAAAATACTCACATACTTTATCAGCCCCAGCAAGAGCAGAGAACTGCATGGTTGTGGCATAATAGCATTGTTATCTTTTATGCTGGGTGAAAACTGGGTCATTATAACCCACAAAAGTACAAAAAAATATAGCTCAGTACTCACTGCAGTGAGTGACAGAGAGCGCATTTGCTCGTCGACGAAAACGTGAAGTCACGGACAGACGGACGGACAGACGGACAGACAGACGGACAGACGGACGGACATGGCGAGAACAATAGTGCATTTTTTCATAAATGAGAAAATGCGCTAAAAAGACAATACTATTCAAACAAAACATTGCATCGCTATTCGGACAAAGTGCCACTCATTTCCCTGCGGGTGTGCAGCACCGCGACAATCATTCACCCTGCGACAGTCACAGCAGAGACCCGGGAAATGAACAGATAGCCACCACCATCAGGGTCATTTCCTTGGCTCAAAAGAGAGCGGTATTTCTTACTAACGGTGCGCATTGTGGCTCTTTTCTACTCAGCCATAAAGTTTAATGGTAGGTCAGGAGTTGTGCTCCATAGCGTAGATTAACTCGTACGTTACTGCGGAAAATAATTTTTAAACCAACATAAATATCTGGGGCCAGGCCATACTTTCAAAACTCGCTAAGTGAACGTAAGTACTTACGCTCTATTTTCTTATCTATGATTGGTGGATTTGGCTTGAAAGGCCGCCAATGATTGGCTGATGAACTTACGATCTCTTAACTTTTTTCGAAAGTACAGGCCCGGTTCTTTATTAGTTTGTTTGTATGCTTGCTTGATAGAAGTCGTCAACAAGCTACGCCTATTTACCAATAACGAATGGCAGCAGATTTAATTTGTTGCTAGCGAAAACTTATATAAAATTGTATTTGTGATACCATACATACAGTATGCGCCGTTGTGTCAGTCATTAAAAAGTTTTGGTTCAGTAGGGAAAAATTAAGAGAAGTTAAGACCACAAAAATTTATCCGTTCCCGGATAATGTTTGGCTTCCAAGTTGGAATGAAACTTTTCCAGAGAAAGTATGGGATAAAATAACGTTTAAGCTGTTAAAATATCGAGTCAAATTTTTAATTTGGACTGAACAATAGCTTCCGAATGGCTCTGGGTTAGCATGCAAGTTTTTTATTAAGTTTATAATGTGACATTATAAATTTTCCACCCTGGCCCAGCGAGGGTGGAAAATTACATCTACAGCGGAAACAAACCGAGTAAGCAATGTATGTTATTTGCCGGTCAAAGACAGAATTGATGAATGAGGCCTGCTACATGATGAATGAGACCTGCTATATGATATACGAGACCTTGGCTCTAAGTACAATGGGCTGTTATTTGCATTATAAAATAACTGTTCTTACCTCTGAAGGAGAGAGAGGCAGCTTCAGACTGTTGTTGATGCTTCGATGCTGAATTGAATTAAGTTGTTAGCTTCTTCAATAGTTATACAAATCAAAACATGAATAACTGGGGAATTTTGGGGATTCAGGCTGGCAAGCCTAATGTTCAATATAAATTATTATCTTATTATTTACTAAATCATTAAGAACAATTCAGGTCTTCAATGTCTTGCACAGTTGATTACATAAAGTAATGGTAATATTATTGCTATCACTTCCTTAATTGCCAGCGTTACAAGAAGAAACATTCGACAAAAAAACACTAATAAAAACGAGTATGATAATCTTTAGCATAAATGAAGGTCGTCACCAAAACACTGAAACATTTCAACTGCATGCGCCGGCACCCCACAAGGTAACATACTGATTTNGATTTAATCTTGAAAATATATACTGATTACGACCATGATAATTATACCTGAAGACATTCCTAATTTAAAATTTGTTAGCCATATGGATGTTCGGGTTCTGTAAAAAAATATAGTCATATTAAGAATTTCAAAATTTTAGAGCACAGAACTTTTTCAATAGTTCTTACTGTAACTACAACCTTAGTTTGAAATGCAAATTGTCCCAATTCGTCACAACTAAAAATGACATAACGTCCCATGTCTCTTATAGCTGAATTATTCTCACCAGAGTTTGAGCGTAATCCGACTGAGAATCTGTTCACTCAGCTGCCCTAGACAATCATGCAAATACAGCGAGGGTCGGTGCTTGTAGACAAGCTGTCAAAAATGCGAAAAAACTACAAAGTTGGAAGCGGAAAGTTGATTTTGCGCGCCGACACGCGGGCGATGTTCTGCCTCGACTTGTAGATTGGATGTTATAAGTTATTAAATTGCTGTTATAGGCTCGATCTCTGAAGCCAAACGAAAATAGTCACGATCAAATTGTATTTACTGAAAAGTATTGAAAGCAGTGCTACAGAGCAAATTGTAATTTATTCATGAGCGGACATTATTGCGGTTCCTTGGAGAAAAACTGAAGGCCTTAATGGCACCGCGTAAAAAGCGATACTGCGCAACGGTGTAGTGAAGTAGAATGTTTTGAGTATTCTGGTAGCCTTGTATACTAAAATAAACAAATTGGTCGACAGCTGAAAGTGAAATTTCGAATATTGAAAGAGTAACAAAATAATAAAAGCCGCGTCGCCTGCCTGTTCTTTATAAACTGAATCCGGTCACACGAAAAATACATTTCATTCTTCCACTGACTAATTTTTGTATTTCATTTGGTGGGCTCCTGTAAACATTTTATATTTACGGTACACGAGGAGGCTGAGCGCTTCTTACAAAGGTGGTCCAAAATGATGAATGTGACAATGCATGATAAATGTGACAATACATGATGAATGTGACAATAACATGATGTAATAGAAACAAGAAATAAATGAATGAAATGAATCATTCTTCCAGCGCCGTAGCCACGAAGGGGCTCACGGGCGCCCGGCTAACGAGAAAACTTGCGTCCGTCCAAATCAGGAATTCGTGGCCTGGAGCT